TAGAATAAGACCATTCGAGTTGTTGTTATAGCAAAAGTAAAGACCTTATCTTGGGTTTAGTCTATAAACCAAGAAGGAGCAGGAGTCTGCAATAAGAATTGAGTTTAACTCAAAGATTAGGATCGAAAGCCCAATAGAGAATGATGAGCGGGTGCAGGTTTGAGCACCGCTAGTAATTGAAAAGTTGAAGAGTTTGACAATCGTTTGGCAAACCAAAAGTTAAAATAGTACATTTTAGATTACCACAGAGGAAGTAAGTTAGGACTCGAATGTTGTGACTAGTAATTTCTCGTAAATTTTAGATCTGCTCACATCTTATTTGATTGTGATGCCTCAGATTCTTTCGTGCCTTATAAATTCGCACATTATTTTCAAATTGCTTATTATGCAAATTGTCCAATCATTTCATATAGATAACATAGGAAATATATTATTACTTGCTGATAAAGTCTATAGAGATAGTGTTATAGGAATTGAAAGTTATAATCTTCCCTGCTAACCTAATTCCTATCTTTGATATTATTCTCGACATGGATTGGTTGTTAAAGAACTACGCAGATCTCTTGTGCTACGAAGAGATGTATGCATCCCTATCGAAAGGGAAGATTCTATTTATGTCTACGGCGAAAATAATAAATTCTTTCTTAAAAACTCGTAAATTTATGTCGAAGGGATATTCTACTTATCCGGCTTATACAGTTAATACCTTGAAAGAGGAGAAGAAAACTGTGAATGATAGGCTTTGGATAATTATCGACCGGCTGATTAAGAGTGCATATTTTCTCGCCATACGTATAACGGTTCTAATAAGAAATATGCACAAGTTTACTTAGACGAAATTGTGGCAAGACATGGTGTGCCACTAAAGATTATTTCCGATCGTGATACTCGCTTCACTTCTCACTTTTGGGCGAGTATGAAACGTGAATTGGGATCTCGAGTTGCTCTCAGCACAGCTTATCATCCCAGACGGATGATTAGACGGAGAGAACAATACAAACAGTAGAAGATATGCTTCGTGTCATGTGTCTTAGGGTTTCGGTAGTAACTGTGAACAACATTATGTTGGCATAATGTAGGACAGAAAATCCTTGGTGGTCCTGAATTGATTCAAGACACCACTGATAAGATTCAAATCATACGAGAATATGAAAGTAGCCCAGGATCGACAAAAAGACCTGTGTAGAATGGAGGAGACGATCCATAGAATTCCAAGTGGGTGATACTGAAGGTAACCCCGTGGAAAGGTATTATGAAATTTGAGAAGAAAAGGAGATTGAGTCCTAGATTGTTGACTTTTCAAAATTAGTCAACAAGCATATCGCTTGGAAATGCCTGAAGATTTGGCAGGTATTCATGATGTATTTCATGTAAGATATCTACGTAAATGCTTGAGCATGTATGATGAAACGGTTCCATTATCCAAGGTGAAACGGGATAACAAAATATACTTAGGAAAATAAGAATGAGATAAGAGCGAATATCCTCATTTGTCTAAATCGTTGTGATTTCGGGGACGAAATCCTCAAAAGGAGGAGGTATTTGTAACATACACGTTTTGAAATCGTGTTATGTAATTTAAAAGTTAATAATATTATGAAATATTATGAGAAATTGAGTGTTAAGAGTTCTAACATATAGTTTTTACTAGAAATGAAGTAAAACTATGTTTAGAATCACTCATTAAATGTTGGAAGTCTTATGAGATTCCAATTAAAAGTCAAATAGTAAAATTTAGCGAAAATATAAAATTTGAAATAAGTAAAATTTTATTATTGAAAGTTGTAGATAATCTCGTTAGAAACACGTAGGCGAAAACCTCGTCGAAATCCGAGTTATAACGAAGAAGTTATGACCAATTGAAGATCCGTGATAAAACGGGCACGGTGCCGAATGACGTAAAAAGTGAGTTTTTGATAAACTACTTTTTAGCCTTAGTGATCTAAATGAAAGTCGTAGTATTCGTTAAACCGAGAAGTTCGATAAAAAGAACGCCAAAATCTGACTCCGTATGAGGAAGTTATGATTTTTACAAGTTTCAGCTTAGCAGTAGACAACTAAAAACTCGAATTTTAGATCGAGTGGTTTTTAGCCGACACAACCTAAACGAGAATTGAAGGTCTCATCATTAGTAGTACAACGGTAAAAAGTCGGACGAAAACGGACGTCGGATGAAGAAGTTATGAATTTTTAACGGATTTACCAGTCCCGGTCTGTTAAAAATAATAATATAAAAATAAATTCAAAATTTTCCAACGAAGTCTACACGAAAGTTGTAGAGCATAATTTTCTCTACGCATGCATATAAAGAACGTCAAAAACGGAGCTCGTATGAGAAAGTTATGGATTTTACAAGATTTGGCACAATTTTCCGAGAAAATCCGCGTGAATAGTAATTGCCACGTCACCCTCGCTCGGAGCTGGCCACGTGTCCGAAGCTGCTGCGTGGCATGCCCGAGGAGCGACGCGTGTCGCACAGGTGTCCGAAGAAAGCCACGTGATCCGCGCATGAAACCCACGTGATCCGACCCGCATGTAGGCTTCTGATTCGACCGAAGAGGAGGCCCGATCCGAAGCGAGCAGGTGTCCGAACCGAACCTCACCCTGCTGACAGCTGGTCCGAGCCTCGCATGCGAGCCTCTCACTTCCCAGCCTCGGATCCGAAGCTCCGGATCTCCTCCTCTATAAATACCAACCTTGCGAGACTTCCCGACTAATTTTGGAAATTTCACACTTTTTCACCCCTTTTCAATATTTTTTACCGTTTTGATTTCTCTCGAAGCCCCGTATCAACTTAGCACCCGAAACACGCCCCGAGGTGCCCGAAGACCCGGAAAATTTATCTTTTCGGTTTCGAAGCCCAACCTTCGCAGGGCCCGGTTTTCAACGACGAAAGTCATATTTAGAGCCAAAATGCTGCCCAAATTATTATTTTGACCCCCGGTTAATTCAAGGTGAGTTTAATATGTAGAAACAATTGTATGTTATGTGTTATATGTGCTATGTGTGCTTTTCCATGTTATCATCTCGAGTTGTTGTATCCGCTATTTTTATAGCAAGGTTGTACCTCTGACTTGACTTGAAGTGTATGACATAGGCATCACTTGGGTATTGGTATGAACCGTTGACCATGAAGTGTATGACATAGGCATCACTTTGGCTTCGGTAGAATGTTATTCTTGAGTATTTTCCCGTGTTATTTTTATTTCTGCTATTTATGATAGCAAAGCTATACCTTTGACCATGTGATCAGTTTACGAACTCAGATTCACAGTGGCACTGGTAGTAGCCTCTGGCCAGGTAGAGCATGTCCCCCAGTAAGTGAATGACTCTATTCGATGGCATTGGCATATGGTTAGACAGGGCGTGAAAACCTGAAATCTACCTTAATGTTAATCAGAAATTGTTTGTCTTCAGTGCCATTTGGGCCGAAGCATTATTGATGTTTATCAAGTATGGAAATTGTTATGTCTAAATGATTGTATATCTTTGAATTAAATCAATGATTGTTAGGGAAAGCTTATCACATTATGCCTTTGTTGTTCCTTGCTCCTATTGCTCCTATTTGCTTCTGCCATATTGGTATATATATGGCATAACGTTATATTGTATCTATTATTGAACTCACTAAGCGTTATCGCTTACCCCTCCCAATGTTTTAACATAATGCAGGCAATAAGCACCCAGTATAGTTGGAAGACTTAGAATAGTTGGTAATTTTTTTTTTGTATTTTGGTTTAGGTTTGTATAGATTTACAATATCCTGGGTAGTTATGTAAAATCTTAAAACATTCCCGGTTTGTATCCAATCTTTTGTAATGACTTTATCAATGTAAAAATATTATTTTATAATATGCATGTAGCATGTTTTGGAGTAACTATATTGTCAAGTATGAAAGTTTGGGTCTTTCAGAAATATGAAAGTATAGAAAGGGGTTCTTTCATTTTGCTTTGTAATCGATCTCGAATTTGCGTTAACAACTATTTCAATGAAGAAATCAATGACGAAAGAAATCAATGAAGAAAGAAATTATGAATTTAAGATAAGAACTATTCGATCGATGTAGATTTGTTATGATTTCGTTGTTGATTTTGATAATTTTGAAGTTAGAAGTGATATTTTTGGAAGAAAATCGGACAGATGTTGTAATACTTAAATAAAACGAAAAGACATCTTACCCTATAATCTTAAATCCAATCCAACGCTTCACTTTTGTTCTCGGGGTTCTCGGGAAACTATGAGTTCTCAACCGATCTCACCCTATAATTATATATATATAATAATATATATATAATAATATATATATATATATAATATATATATATCTAACGGGAATATACATTACAGCCCCACCTAAGCTTAGGTACTAAACCTTTTGAAAATACCGTTTTTTACTATATAAAGATTACGGTTAATGGATTCACGATTATACTTCAAATGTAAATTCAAGATCGACACAATAGGTTTTAGGGGTTATGGTTTTAGGGTTTAGATTTTAGGGTTTAAGGTTTAGGTTTAGGTTTAGGTTTAGGGTTAGGGTTTAGATTTAGGGTTCGTGTTTAGGTTGGGTTTAGGGTTTAGGGTTTAGATTTAAGGTTTAGGGTTTCGATTTAGGGTTTAGGGTTCGGGAAAGGGGTTTCTGGTTTTCCATTTAGGGTTTAGTTTAGGTTAGGTTTAGTAATGTTCACTTGGGTGAAGTAATAAACGATAATTGAGGAAAGAAAACACAGATGGTAAAGAAATGTTATGGAGGATGATATAGTACAAAGTGAAACCAAATCGGGTATATTTAGCATGTTAAAACGACATATTTTAGAAGTTTAGTACCTAAGCTTAGGTGATGGCGTAAGGTATATTCCCTATCCCCATATTATATATATATATATATATATATACTATAATATATATATATATCTTATTTTATTTTACTTATTCCGAACACCATCTAAAACGATCAGCTACCGCGGGAAAGCCAATATTTCAAGTTTTTTCATTTTCACATCTCCATTTCCATTTCATAGCCAGAGCGGCAAACCCTGACCATTTTCCGGACGGAGAGACGGCTCTACCGCCGCCGGCCATGGAAGAAGCAATCTACCAGATAGTTACAGAGCTCGAAGTACACCGCAACGACCTTCATTCGCAGACTCCTATTTCCGAATCAGCCCTATTAGCCCTTCAAACCCTCTTAGATTACACACTTGACAAAGATGATCCAATCGAAATCGAAAATCTCTCCGATGAACTCTCCTCGAAGAACCTCTCCCTCGCTTCCTCCCTCCTCCAGCCTCTCACCTCTGCAATGGACTCTGGCGTACCCCATCACTCTCTCCTCGCTTCCAAGGTTTACCTATCCCTCCTCCTTACCCCTAACTTCCCTGTTTTATCCCTCTTTACACCCATGGCTTTCCTCTCTCTACTCCGCACTGTCCGTCGCTCTTTCAAGAATACTCAATCGGGTCCACCATCTGCTAATGTCGCTAAGAAAAAGAGGGGAGGAAGGGGCGGGGGCAGGTCGAAGAACACCAGTAAGAATGTCGAAGAAGAGGGCGAGGAGGATAGAGAACCAGTAAGAGAATTTGATGTTAGGACTTTGTTTCCTGTTCTCGAAAGGTTACATCTCGTTCTGCGTTTGATTCATTTAGGTAGGTTTCCTGATAGTTTGAAGGCCTTGGTTCAAACAGTGGCTGAGATTCCAGTAACTGCACTTGAATCTTGTGGAAATTCAGCAAATTACACCAAATTATGCAACTTGTGTTCACAGATTTTGAGCGAACTGTTGAAATCTGAGCATGGAGATAAATCTATTACTGCAGCTGAGGTATTAAAGTCTCTTTCCTCTTCAATTCTCTTGTCAAAATCACAGGCAAGGACCTTTTCATTAGCATTTGTAGTGAACAAGATGGCTGTAATGGCAAAGGATTCAGACGAGATTCGAAAAGCCATGGTTAATCTTCCAAAGTATTTGGTTAGTAAAGCTCCCGAGAAATCTGAACCTCGAGCTTTAGCTGTGGATTCAATACTGGAAATCGTTAAATCTTTAGAACATAAAGAACAAATGGAGTTTGCAGATTATGTAGTGAAAATGACTATTGGGAAACCACAACTTAGACTACTGGCAGTTGATCTTATTCCTATTTTGATAACTACATTAAATAATCCATTAGGGACCAGTTCTGAAAATAATGATCCATTAGACACCAGTTCAGAAAATGGTGAACCAGTAGCGACCAGTTCAGAAAATGGTGAACCAGTAGCGACCAGTTCAGAAAATGGTGAACCAGTAGTGACCAGTTCAGAAAATGGTGATCCAGTAGTGACCAGTTCAGAAAAAAAGCATGAGAGTTCTTGGGGATTCAGGTGTCTGCAAGCACTATTACAAAGATGTTCAGATTCAGTTGCAGGAATTAGGGCACGTGCACTCACTAATTTGGCACAATTAGTTGGGGTTTTATCAGGGAATGATGAGAGCAAGAAAGGGTTGATGAAAGTAATGGGATTTGGTGAATATGGTGGGATTAATGATGTTTTGAGGGAACGTTGTGTTGATGAGAAAGCAGCTGTTAGGAAGTCAGCACTTGTTCTAATGTCAAAGCTAACAGTTCTTCAAGGTGAAGGTGGTGGATTTGATGAAATGTTGTTAAAGATTATGGGCATAGCTTGTTCTGATCAACTTGTGAGCATAAGAAAGGCTGCAATTTCTGCTCTTTCAGAGGTCCAATCTCTATACTTTTCTGTTTTAAATCTTGATATGTCATTGAGTTCTTTTCTTTCTATGCATTTTAATGAGTTTTGGGTATTTGACTATTTGTGTTGCAGCATATAGTTACCATTGAACAAGAAGATGATTTTGGTTTGTTGTTTTTTTGTAGACATTCAGGAAGTTTCATGATGATAATGTGACAAAGGAGTGGTTACATTCTGTCCCACGTTTGATAACAGACAATGAAACAAGCATCCAAGAAGAATGTGAGAATTTGTTTCTAGAACTTGTGTTGGATCGGATTTCACGTGCAGGATCTAATCTTGATGGAAGATCAGAAAAGAATCAAAATCTGTTATTTTCTGATGGAGTTTTAGGTCTATTGAAAGAAATCTGTCACAGTGAAGTGACTCCATGGGTCAAAAAGATATGCACAAATCTTGGAAAAAAGAAGAAACTTAAACCCAAGATTGCAGTTTCACTTCAAAACATCATTAAAAAGTCAGAGTCTATGTGGTTGACCGATTCCAAACCAATAAGTAAGTGGACAGCGCCAGCTGGCACATGGTTTTTGTTATCTGAGGTGTCTGGATTTCTCTTGAAAGCAGTGGATTGGGAGTTTCTTTATCACCATTGGCAGCTTCTTGATAAACATGAAGAAGCTTCTCATAGCCCACATGAAGAACAAGAGTTTGTTGAACTTGAACAAGTGGAAGGCGTTGAATCCAGTTCTGTTGATTGGGCTGGAGATCGTGTGTATCTTCTGCAAACAATTTCTAATGTTTCTGTTGAATTGCCTGCTGAACCTGCTGCAGATTTGGCCCATAATTTGCTTAAAAGAATCGAGGACTTCAGCATGCATTCTATGGAGGTATCTATGTCCTTCCTAATAAAGCTATCAACTTTTTTGTTGCAAATTAACCAAAATTCAAAAAGATCATTGCATTTGGTGCTTTTTGTTCAAAATGCTCATTCTTGCAGATGTTAAAGCATCCACAATGACAAAATCGGTTAATTCTTTTTTATGTTATGTGATGACAGGTTACTGCTCATGTAAAAGCACTGAGAACATTATGCAAACAAAAGGCTAAAACACCCGAAGAGGCTGATTCCCTTGTAATCAAATGGGTCCACCAACTACTTTCAAAAGCTTCAAAAACTCTTGAAACATATTTAACAAAAGAATCAGAAATAAACAAAGGTAGCACCTTACTTACACCTCCAACCAGGACTAAGGGTAACAACAAGAACAAATCATCAACAACCATGTCAAGATTACTATCGCAAGCTGTTACTGCTGTTTACACCATTGGATCACTTGTCATTATTTGCCCTTTAGCTGATTTGAAATCCATTGTTCCCATTTTACATAATATTATCACATCTGGCATTTCTGACCCAAAACTTAAAAAGTTAGCAAGTACGTCACTTTCTGTGAAACAAGTAGCCCCTTCTTTGTACACTCAAGCTTGGTTAACAATGGGGAAGATTTGTCTTGCTGATGGGAAACTTGCAAAGAGATATATACCACTGTTTGTACAGGTTTGTAAATTACAAAATATGTCCCTGTGCTTTCTGAGTTTTACCATGTTTAGTCCAAAACTGAAACATTCTTTGTTGCAGGAGATGGAAAAGAGCAACAGTGCAGCCCTTCGAAACAATATTGTTGTAATGATGGCGGATTTTTGTGTAAGATATACTGCTTTGGTTGATTGGTGAGTTCTCTTACTAATATAGATATATAGATATGTATGTATGTGTGTTTTCTAATAAGCACCCACTTATGTTTTTTTTTTTCTTTTAAAATCAACAGTTATATACCAAACATCACCAAATGTCTTCGTGATCCTTGTGAACTAGTTAGAAGACAGACATTCACACTTCTATCAAGGTTATTACAGGTAGTCTTCATGAATTGACATTCCCATGTTAAAAATCATGTCTTTTAAGGTCAAGAACACGTGGATTGACAATTTTGACACGTTTGACTCGTTTTTCCTGTAATTAGCGTGATTATGTGAAGTGGAGAGGTGTCCTTTTTCTTCGATTTCTTTTATCACTTGTTGATGAATCAGAGAAAATAAGACAACTTGCTGATTTTCTTTTTGGGAATATATTAAAAGGTGAAACTTCTTTTTTAATTTTATTAATATTCGACTTACCCTTACAAATTCTTATTTAATGCTTTTGACTTTAATATGTGTATCATGTCACAGTGAAGGCGCCACTTTTAGCTTATAACAGCTTTGTTGAAGCCGTCTTTGTTCTAAATGACTGTAATGCCCATACTGGGCAAGCCAATTCCGGGAGTTCCTCGAAAGAAAACCGTCTTTTTTCTATCAGGTAAACAGTCTGTAAATATCTCATGTTGCTTTTCCTTTTTTCTCTTTTGTAGATTATCATCAATACATCATATTTTTCTGTAAAATTTAAGGGGAAATGATGAGAATTCGAGGAGTCGAAGAATGCACATATATGTCTCCCTGTTGAAACAAATGGCTCCAGAGCATCTTTTGGCTACATTTGCAAAAGTTTGTGCAGAAATTTTAGCTTCTGCATCTGATGGAATGCTCAAGATCGATGATGTTACAAGTCAATCTGTTTTACAGGTATTGTGGAATGCATGCATTTTGGATTCTTTTGATCTCTTTTCAATATCTTGACATGTTCTTTTATCCAAAACAAACAGGATGCGTTTCAGATTCTCTCCTGTAAAGAAATCAAAATCCCGACAAACAAAGGTCCAGCAGTGGAATCAACAGAAATGGAAGAAGAAGCCACCGGAGAAAACGCCGTGAGAGGACGAGTGATAACACAAGTCGTGAAAAAGGGATTAATTCAAAACACAATCCCGATCTTCATAGAACTAAAACGTCTTCTCGAGAGCAAAAACAGCCCTCTTTCAGGATCCCTAATGGAATGCCTCAGAACCCTTCTCAAAGACTACAAAAACGAGATCGATGAGATGCTCGTTGCCGATAAACAACTCCAGAAAGAGCTAATTTACGATATACAGAAATACGAATCAATGAAGGCGAAATCCACGGCGGCTGAAGCTGTTGGGAAGGGCGTGAATGGAAATAGCGTGATTGCGACCTCGAAAGTGACGTCAGCGGTGGCTGGTGCGTTGGCGGAGATGACGGCTAGGTCTGTGCTTAGGGATGTGAACCAGGGTGCAGGGACACCGTCGCTTAGTGCCATGAATGTGCCGAAGCTTAAGTCGACTACAGCGGGTGTGAGCAAGCACAAGGGGAAGTCAGCGGCGGTGCTTGAGTCTTTGAGGAGAAGACAGTCTTTTGAACTGGACGAATGAGAGAGAGAGAGAGAGAGAGAGAGAGAGGTTTATCTAGTGTTTTTTATTAGGAAGATAAGTTGTTTAAGTTGTATATGGGTTGTAGACTAGAGATGTACGTATCAGTTTGTTCACAAGTTTAAGCCTTACTTTTTAGAATGTACTTTACACTAACCGATCGTATTTGCTCTCTTTTAGTTCTATATTTTCGACCATGATTGGTAAGTCATTTATCAGAAATTAAATATCCTTCTATTTTTTTTTTTATCTTTCTACAATACAATCGATAATAATTTAAGACATGGTTCGTCATCTCAAATGGATGTAGTAAGATAAGTAGAATGATATTTAATTTCTCGTCATTTATATGTGGCAAACATGTCCTTAGGAGACCACATACAACTATAGTCGAGTGTGTAGATGTTCTCTAATCTCTATTGTTGGTGTGAAGGGAGGATGCACCATAAGAAAAGGAAAAGATTCCATGAGATTAGTGTAGGAATAATATTACGGAAATGTACGAAAACAAATAAGAAATAGGAAAAAGTTCAGACATGTGTTTAACACATTGTCCTTAAAACAAATTCGCCCGCTATCGGGTGTTTGTTTCCCAGGATACAACAACTAGAAGTGGTTCTTCTAGACCACCCGAACCCTCATTAGGCCTGAATTTTACATTCAATATAGCTAGAAAAAGAAAAAGATGAAGTGGGGAAGAAGAGAGTTTTCTTGCATTCTTTTGGTGTACTCAAACGGTTGTAGAGTAGTGGTATTTATACTACACATTCTATAACCTCTCATTTAAACACCTCTATTAATCACAAAGATTAATGTGTCTTAATATGTAATTAAATTGTAATATTAATTACAATTTCAGTTACCAAAGAAAGAAATATTTGCAAAAAAGGTCCCTGAACTTTTCTTTTCTTTCTCCCACCCATTAAACTCTTTTATTTACTTCTTCCAACACCCTTACTTTAAGAATTAATTTCTCATTCATATTAAATCCATTTTGGACGTGTTAAAAAAAATAGGGGAAACCCATTTTTATAAATTGGTTAACACCAATTTTCCAACAATCCCCCACATGAATGAAAATTGATCAAGCATTTTCAAGCTACTTAGATAAAATCCAACAGTTGAATCATGTATAGGATAGGTAGGTGTTACCCTTTGAACATTCCCTTAAGATACATATTTATTTTACTAGCGGACCAGTAGACTCGATGTCCTTGAACTGTTCTGCCGTTTGTGTAAATAATCAATATGTGTCTCACATGATTCTCCCTGACCTAGTTAGGTCTCATTGATGTGTCCGTTATGGTCATGGACACTTGCCTGGTTCTGTAAGAGCTCTTAGGAATGTGCCCATACAATTCCTTTTGAAGCGACCCCACTTCTCTCTCACATAGGTGATTCTATAATAATCATTAAAAGCTAATTCGTGATGATTTCCAATTTATCATCCACGACTATAAGCTTAACCTGCATCACTGTTTGTTTTAGGAATGGTTTGGGGTTAACCCCCATAGTGATTCACAAATGTTATATGCAAGTAGGTTGTCCCATTGAACCTAGATCTTGGGATCTCCAGTTAAGTAGGTTGGGTTTTCCTTCGCAATAACTTATTAATCTATGGGTTTTTGTACCATTCCTCATAACGACCTCTCATTCCAAGCATTTCGTAGCGGATCCGCAATCTGATATTGACTTTATGTAGTCATTCATCTTGAGAGTCATTGTTGAATGGTGTTATGTCTTTGACAAATATATATAGACTCACAATTCTTTACATCATCATGTACATATATATAGGAGTTATTGGCTCATCATGGGATGTCTCCCAAGAACTTAAAAAGCCCTTTAGTTTATTGTCCAACCTTTGATAAACTTGAAATTTTTTCTCTCCTATATTTTCCAACAAATGTTGACCATTATCAATATGGTTATAACTACACCATAGTTACCACTATTGAATAAGCATAATTGTGTCAACATAATACGATAAGCATATGTACTACATGTATTTGTGAATTCACAATAACATTGGCCAAATGTAATTATGAATATTCCATACATGAGTTTTCTTGCAAATATCGTATTTTTCCACGCAATTTCTTGTCTTAACCATATACATGTAAAATTATTTAGGCATCCTATCTCAAGGATCCTACTATGTCATAAAATAGAATATCACTTTAAAGTGTCATTTATATGGATCTATTTCATCACATCCATTGATGTTGAACGACATATTCAAACTTTTGATACCCGTTGTTCCAAAGCTTGCTTTAATCATATAATGACTTCACTACTCGCACATTTTGTTGCTTTCCCTCGGGTAAGATAACTACTTGGCATTTCCATGTAGATTTATACTTCTAAAACTATGTTTATCAGAATGATATACTTCCAAATTTCAAGAAGTTACAACCACATATAATTATAAGAGCATACAAATGAAATTAATCAAGACATTCTTATGTTTGTAATCAAAACATATATGTCATGAGCTCTTATTTCCCATTTGGAAACCCATTAAATTGTAGTGATTTCTCAAACTCAATAGTTCAAACGGTAGAACCATTATTAGTTTTTATAACTTAATCCAATATGATATTCTAAGAAACAATCATATGATTCCAAATTTAGAATACTCATATTTCCATTCATAGTCCTTTCAACTTCATGTTGAATATCTTAATATCTATCAAAACCTTTATCTTGTTTTGATGAATTCCAACCAATATTAGTCGATTTAATGGAAATATCTTGTAACGCTCCATTTCTGGTATGTAAATTTAATTAAATTATCTCCATTTCTTAAGGGGTACTCGACGAGTCTGTAGCCCGACTCGTCGAGTAGGAGCGGGATGAGCTCGCGATTTAAGTTGGCTACTCGGCGAGTCCATATGTTGGGACTCGGCGAGTCTGCTTGTCTGAATGAAGCCCTAATTTCAAGGGTTTGTACCCTATTTAAACGTCATTATAGCATCCCACCCTAGCCTCCAGCACCTTTAGAGCATTTACCCTGTAAACCCTAGCTCTCATTGTTGAGTTTGAGTGTGTTTGTGCTAGTTTGGAAGCTTTGGAAGAGAAGGAAGGAAAGAAGGTCCATAGAAGAGAAAGGAGATCCAGGAGTTAGCTTCCATCTGTTTCTCATTCAGGTAATGAAGTTATTACCTTGTGTATTCCTCCATTAAACCCTCTTTTATGCTTGTTATGTCTTCTTTGGAGCCTTTTATGATTCAAAACTTGAGATATGGACTCTCCTTTGGATGGAAACCTTAGATCTGGACGTTATTGAACTCCAGGAACTCATTATAGCCACCTTTATGCAATCTTGGCCTTGTTCCCAACCCTAAGTGCTTAGTATTTGTTGATTTTGGGCATTTTAGCCTCATACTCTTGTGCATGCACGTAAAGTTGGAAACTTTACGTGTAAAACCAGTCCTAGAAGCTCAGATCTATGATCTGGAAGCACTGAAATCGATTAGAATCGACTGTATAGTAATAGCATGCTTGGGACTCGGTGAGTTGTTCTTCAGACTCGACGAGTTGTTCTTACGATTCGGCGAGTCACAGACTGGACGTGTTCATATGATGAAGGAGAACTCGACGATTTATTCATACAACTCGGCGAGTCAGATGAAGTTAGACTCGATGTTAGTATCGAAGAAGAACTCGTCGAGTCTTTGCCAAACTCGACGAGTAGAAGCGGGTAGAGGATTAGACTGGATGATAGGGACTCGACGAGTTGGTGGCCCAACTCGACGAGTCCGGTCAATTGGAAGTTGACTTTGACCAGGAAGTTGCTTGACCAGGGGTAAATAGTCATTTTACCCTGAGATTAGCTATCAGTATTTGATTTAGTGTTTATGGGATTTGTAGCCGGGGAGTTCCGGAGCAACAGTCAGGCAGTTTCAGATTTAGCATCTCGGCAGCCAGCGTTACGAGGTGAGTTTCCTTCTAGTAGGAACGGGTCTACGGCCACAATGCCGACCCGTCTAGTTAGCAATAGTTCCGGACTTCGGTCCGATGCAGTAGTTCAGTATGCTTGATGTCTTTGTGATTCAAGCTTGTCTTTGTATTATGTGTTCCGGACTTCGGTCCGATGCAATATGCAGTATAAGTGTTATGTTAGTAGTTATGATTATGCTATGCTATGTTCAGTCAGTTTCCGGACTTCGGTCCGATGCAGAGGGCAAGGCCCTGGTTAGTTCCGGACTTCGGTCCGATGCAGGGGGCAAGGCCCTCGTTAGTTCCGGACTTCGGTCTGATGCAGTTCCGGACTTCGGTCCGATGCAGTGGGCAAGGCCCAGTAGTTGCCTTATATGTTATTGTATGGTATGTGGTAGTTTGGGGGAGCTCACTAAGCTTCATGCTTACAATTTCAGTTTTGTTTTCAGGTACTTATGCTAGTAAGGGGAAGAGCTCGGGATGATGGCATGGCACACACCACAGCTTCAGTTAGCCTGGGATTTTACTCTGATATTTTGATATGTTTTGGCACAGTCTTGATTTGTTCCATTTGATATGACATTTTGAGATACACGACTTATGGTTTTGTTATATGCTATTGGATATTATGGTTTTAGCAACGTGTTAAAACAAAAAATTTTGGGTTGTTACATATCTTCTTGGAGTATAGAAGTAACATTTGATTCTAAATTTCCAAACAAGAAATCATTACATATTTCTATTGAAATCATACACCATTATGTTCTAACCGATTGTAACATTCAGATTTTCAGAGGTATTATGGTGTAGGTTAATCTTGTGATTAAAGGAGGGACTCGACGAGTTGAGGGTCCAACTCGCCGAGTCGAGTCGGGTTTCTCCCGTGGATTTAATGAGTGGACTCGACGAGTCCGAGGAGAGGGACTCGCCGAGTAGGCGCTGATTAGAGAAACCCTTTTTTCCGGGGTTTGGGACCTATTTAAAGGCACTTATAGCCTCATTTGCGGCCACCCTTTCCCTGGAAGCAAACCCTAAAGGTCATTTGAGCTAGAAAGTGAGAGAGAAGCTATCTTGGGATTTTTAGTGCATCCTTTGAGAAGAAGAGAAGGAGATCAAGCAAGGATCAAGAGGGGGAAAGTTGGATGCAGTGATAGATCGTCCAGAGCTTCTGAGGAAGGTAAAAGTCTGCACCTTTCTCATTATTTTGGTTAGATCTCATGTGTTTGGAGTTCTAGGGCTTTTACCACCTTTGGTTTGGGACTTTGAGTAAAGTGGATTAG